TTTTGAGTGGGACTGTATAATTGGCAGGTTTTGTATTTTATCAGAGTGACAGAGAAGGGGCGGTCCTCAGTCTGGATTATGCTTTCTAAGACATTCTATCTAAATATGAACAATATTATTAAAATCAGTATTTAGCATTATAACTTTTTGGAAAAGCCATAACAATAGGGAATAAAGTTGAAATAAGTGGAACACAAAATATGTGTAGCATTGTACTCTTACTTCAATTCATTATGCGTAAGACAACAAGATTTTGATCAATGTGTATTCTGTCAATCTTTAGTTACATTATATAACAAATAATCCTCTAATTTATTATTGAACTTAGTTCAGGTTATTGTTCGAGCATGTGCTAACTCTGTCCATCATATATATATATATATAAATATATATATACAAAATGCTTATGGTTAAAGTGAGAATATTAACAGCTACTCATTTTTAAAGATCTTATTTCAAAGACCTGTGTATTTCCAATCCCCTTCCGTTTGTTCAGACTCTGAAGAGTTGCTCTGGCTTATAGATATAATTTGCTGTATCAGGCCCATTGGAAAGATGGCTTTACTTCCTTTTGCAGAAGGAACTGACATGTCTGGATAGCTCAAAACTCATTCAGAAGCATATTCTGGAACAGCTAAATAGGATCTCGAGTTAGACTTTTTCATTGCTTCCTTTTTAAAATTTCAGCATATACAAACATGCAAACATAAATGCAAACCACTGCAAATGCTAGTCATACATTACATTTTATGGGATGAACCAAATTAAAGGCATAATAAATGCAAGTATAAGCACTGCAAGTGTAATAAAAAATACAGTTGTGTTTCATTCCTGTTTGGGTAGCACTTACTGCTGGACGTGAGATCTGAGATGTTTTCTTCACTGCAGATGTCCTGGAAAAATGGTCTCTCTTGAATGGAACTATCCCTTCTCATATAAAACTTCATTGGCATGTATTAACAAAATTTCTTGGAATGTTGTTTTTTTTTTTTCTCTTCTCTGCAGCAAGTGCATTACTGCTGTTTGTTCGCTCTCTTAGTTCCATCTACCCGAGAATAAAGGAGTACTTTGTTTAATGAGTTTTGTTTGACAAACACTCAGTAACGGAAAGCGAAGAGATTATGGAGAAAAACACATGGAGGTCCTTAGTCCTAAATACATAATGATTTCCAGGTTCTATGACAAAAACTGTGAACAGTGATTAAAAGGAGTAAAATCTTGAGAATCCAGAAACTCCATGGATTTATGGAATTTGGAGGGGAGGGGGTGAGGGCGAGGGGGAAGGGTAAGTTTCGTTTAAGTTGAACTGAGAGCCAGAGCCAGAGGGTTTTGGTTTTTGTCCGTTGTTGGGTTTTTTCCCATCACAGATAATCTTATTAAGAGTTTAAATTTCCTATGAAAGAACTATGCAATTTATTTTAATTTGTAATTGGAACAGCAGGACATTTCTATTCAACTGCAGCTTTTGCTTATCTCTTTTTGATAGCCTTAGCCTTCTATAGGTCGTCCTATAACTTGTTACCTTTGTATGAGTTTGAATACATGAATGAAGGAATGCTACTAATAAGGCTTATATGGTAACTGCAACACGTTGGAGAAGTGGCCTTGAGAAGTTGGTGTGTGAAATCAAGAAGTTAGGGGAAAAGTCTCGCTGTTTGCAGCGATGCTATGCCTATATAGGTTTTGCACCTGACTTGTGATTTTCTGTAATCCTGTTGGTGAGCCTGGTGCGAATGGAGTTAGGTTATTGGAAAGCTGTTCTTACACAAGAATTAGATTATTGCTATTAGTGCAGTGGCACAGTTATTTTCTGCTGGAAGTGAACCAAAATGAAACCCTCATAGTGGAACAAGATTGCTACAAGATACACGTATCTAGTGTTAGACCTAACATTTGTCTGCAGTACAGTAACAGATAAAATGCTGGTACTGAACACCTGGTTGGTGAAAGTGCTGGCTTAGAACTATCGTAGTAGGATCTCAAGCAGTCTGTTTTAATTAAGTTGATATATGTTCTGCTTAGATTTCAGTTTCCTATGAGTAAATTACAGCTTGAGAAAGGGTATGTGGGTTTGCTTTTAATACAGCTGTTTTGCAGGATACATGTATTGCCCATCACGGGACCTTTATTGTCAACAAATAGTAAAAATTGTCTCATTTAAGCTTATTCTGATTTAAAGTGTTGATTTCATCAGCAAGGCAGCAGTCTTCTCTGAATTAAATTGTACTGTCATGTGTTCCTCCTACCCTACCAGAACATACACCTTAATTGTACAGATACAATAAAACAGCAAGGGGTGAATAGTTGCTGTAGTATTGACAGTTCAGGATATATCAGTTGGATAATTTTCATATTCATTATTTTGTATGAATAGAGTATTATTTTGTAAATATTTCTAACATACTTGGGGTGAAAAACAAAAGTGTTACTAATAAAATTATCAGCAAAGTAACTTGTATATTTTAAGTGCTCATGTGCACTCTAGAGGCTTTCATAATTCTACTCTCTATTTTATGCATATCAAAAAGGTTAGGGAAAAATAGCATGTATAATTTTATAGGAGTGGCCAATTACAAGTGAAAAGCTTTCCCCTGTATCTGTTGCTATAGTAACCAGGCAGCTTTCCTGGGGTCCAAAGAAAACAGTGTCTATAATGGAACAAATGCTGAGAAGTGCTGTGTTTTGTTCCAGAAGCAGAAATTATTGCCCACTGGCCTTGAGATTGCAGATGGAGCTATTTTTCTCTTAAACTGTACACTGCATGTACATTGTGCTTTTTCTTTTCCTTCAGAAGTTTTTGTTAAAGATGCAGCTCCAACTCCCAAAGAGCCCTTGTATCTTACAAGCAGTTCTGCAAAATTGAGGTGACTAGGAGATGCCAAATTTTCTCTGGTGGTTTTCTTATCCCTAATTTTTGAGAGAAATACCTTGTTTTATTTCTAGACAAAAATGTAGATAAACGTATGCATGTGTAAATAAGCCTTAGTATTTCCGTACAAGGAGCTGGTTGGTTGTGTGAAGTATGTATTTGCCCTGTTCAAAAAGATAAACTTTTCTGGCAGTGTAAACACAAGTTTTTGCTGCATTCCTGTGGTCTTCCTGACATGTAGCAGCAACCTGTGGGAAAGGTAGAAGCTGTCAACAGTTAAGAAATTCAGAAACTACTTTTGAAAATACTTTTATGCACATTTCACTGAAGATTCCATATGTCAAGTTTCCTTTCTCACCTCATTTTTAAATAAGTTCTTTTGTCTTTACATTTTAGTAATTTAAGTATTTTTTCTCTCTTATTCTTAAATCTACCTTCCAGAAAAGGTGGAAAAGTAGAGAAAAAACACTGTCTCTAACATATACTTGAGATCAGCAGTGCTAATACTGGAAACTTGCTGTGTTTTTTTCTCACTAGCAGTGTTAATCAGCATTTTCTTTCTCTAGCCCATATTTTCATTCAGCTTTGTAAGTTCTGTCTACATGAAGAATTTAAGTTGTTTGAATTCCATCATTTCTGTTGAAAGAAAATACAGTACCTCTGCTGCTGTAGCAGTTGTGCTAGATAGCTGTACTTGTCAGCCGAGCTGTTGTCACTGAAAGTACAACATGGATGGATGGCACCTTTGTGCCAGAAGAATGTGACCACATCAGAGGTTACTGCAATTTAATTAATTTTGAAAGACCCCATAAATGTAGAGCAGTTTTGGTTAAAGCAGTAGAAAAAAACCTCTCTTTTTTTGAAGTACTTACTCTCTTGCTATGTGTTTTCTCAAACAATTGGTACACTGGGAGTGTGCTTAGAACAGAAGCTGTTCTTTGGCCTGAGTGTATCTTTTATTTCAGTCAGCACTAGCACATCTTCAGTTTAATGTCATGTAGAATCTGTTCTATGAATGCCAATATTGACTTTCAGACTTTTTAAAAACATGGATGATTGTCCATCGTATTAGCAGACTTTTTTAGTAAGAGACTGAATATTTTTAAAAGTCTGGCACTTAAAAGTTCTGTAGTGATTCAGTATCAGTACTTTTATAAATTGCACAAATCTTCATTTTGCTTTTCCAGAGAAATTTTTCATTTTTATTGGTGTTAATATCTAGTTTGGAAGGCTGTTTTATTCGATGTTGTGCAGAACTGGAGTTTTAGTCCAGCCTGTATTTTTTAATATGGGAGTCTGAATTTAGGGCATTTCTGTACAATACAGTATCTCTATAATTATATGACATATTTTGTGGGTTTTATATGTATAGATGTATACATTGAAGGGAGGATATTATTTCATTCTGTTTTCAGACACAGGGAAAGTGACCTTTCTGTGAACCAAGCTGATTTTAGAACTATAAAATAAAAGAAGTTTGAAAAAAAACCTCTGTAGAGTCATTCAAATATGATTTGGATGAACTGTGATACAGTGTAAATACAGAGTTGTATGGTCACATAAACTGAATGCAAACTAATTTCTACCTACCATTCCTTTAAATAGACTAGGATTTTTAAATCTTAGTATGTTGAAAAGTAATTCCTTGTCTTAGATTTTAGAAAAGCCCTAGAGCAACAGAAAACATATAGGGAATGGGTTTGATTTCTAATTATAATACCAATTTTCTCCAGCTGCCCTTCAGCCTGTATATCAAATATTGTTTAATTTGTGTATCATGTCAGAATTGTCTTGTGGAGGGATCTGAAGAAAGAAGTGCTAATTACTTTCAGATTACATGGAAGTTGTTCTAGATGGAGGAAGTGCCATGGGGAAAAAAGTACTAAGTGCTAATGGAATATGAGCTAATTGGAAATATGGACAACTAAGACTAAAAATCTGTAGGGCCTTGAAAGTTAAGCTAAATCCTTATATTCAAATACTATGACATTAGTCACTGCACAGCTATGTTACCTGTCACAATAATGTCTTCCTATGTTCTGCCTGTTTCCTGATGTCTAGCTGGTTAACTTTGAAATAATGTGTCTCAGAGGAATATATCTACTCAAATTTATCTTTCTCTTCCGTATAGGTGGATGTGGCTGTGGTGCATTTCACTCCATTGGTTCAACCAAAGATAGAGCAGCCATTCAAGCTAGTAGAAAAAGTGGTTCAAAGTGTTTTTCAGTTTAGAAGAAAATACTGCTTCCGTGGAATTGCGTAAGGATCTTTAATGAAAAAATCTCAGATTATGTTTTTGTAAATATGTCAGCTACTAAATCAGCTGAGATACAGTTGTAGCTATGCATTTGATTTTATTCCTCCCATTTTAAATTTGTTATCATCAAGTCAGAATTTGTGTTCATCAAATCTTTCCATTTCAGAATGATTTCTGGAGACTAAAGTATGAGATGAATCTCTTTCTGCTGTAATTATACAATAATTACTGTGCATTTTTGTTAGTGCGGTTGAAGTTGTTAAAATTACTGGGATAAATTGGTGATCTTGACAACAGTTTGTATGTCACAGAAACAAAAAAAACCCACCAACCACAAAAGCTGCAGCATTTGTTGGTTGAGTTAAAAAAATTAAAGTATCAAAATTCAGAACCAAAGATGGCAGTGGGAGGAAGGGAGGACGTCATCTGTGGGAAATTTTACTTATTTGGGGTTATAATGTCAAAAGGTCAAATTCTTGTTTCTGTGCTTGCCCTTGTATGGAGTTCTTACTGACTCTTTAAAAATCCCCATGTCTTACTGAGGGAATTTACCAGGTTCTGTGAGAAACCTGCAGTCTGTTTGCCAGGGATCCTGTTAAAACTCCAGCATAGCCACGGGTCTGACCCGGTATGGGAAAAACCCAGCATTCAGCAGTGTAGAGTGTGTGACAGAGCTTCTGTTAGGACTAGAGGCATGCTGCTGCAGCTTGGGCTAGCTGAATTTTGCTGGGCATTGTTTTGGCCCTGATGCAGTCTGGAGTGATGGTGAATGCTGCTTTACTGACCTACAAACCTTTTATGTCACTGTTTTAAAGGTGAACATAGAATTTTGCCTCTAGTTTTGCTTTGTTTTTTTTCTTTGAGGCAGTGAATGCCATTGATGGCTGGTATGCAGACATCAGATCTAAACTGTGTTAAAGTTTGAGTATGCATTTGGAGGTGGTTAGAAAAAGAGGTATCCGAACTCTAGATTGATTTGTATTTGATTTACAGGGTGGTAGTGGGTTTTTTGTGTGACAGAATGGTTTCAGTTGACAATGTAAGCAGAAGGCGTGTGTAGTCAGCATATATGCAGAATATTTTTGCCAAAGTTTAAAAAAAGCCTCAACTGTTGTCTAATCTCAAATTGCTTAACAAATCCTCTACATTCTTTTGAGACAAGGAGGGGGAATCCTGAACTTTTGGAAGTCACATATCCCCTAGCAGCTTATCATACTTTAGCCCCAGTGTGAGGCTGAGAAATAAAATCCTCTTATTCTTTAGGTGATCTGAAAAAAAATAGCAAATTTTGGTCTATTATATAAAAACAAGGTAATAGAATCAGTTTACATTTGTTTGTAAATTCTGAGAGCTGAAAGACATGGCATATAAGATTAAGCTATTAGGTCCATGAAGAAAAATATTGTAGTTTCAGTTGCTGTTCATGGACATTTATAAGGTGGTTCACAGTCTGTATATAGAAGGTGATTAAACATTTTTGGCTCCAGGTACATCTTCTAACTACCAAATCAAAGGAGAGAATAACTTAAGGAGGGATATAAAAATATGGATTCAAGGTTAAGGATCCATTTTAACTTTCCTGACCTAGATGCTGAACTAATGGGGACATTTTTGACCAAAGCCTGAAGTAACACATACTTTAAACCATGTTGTTCCCAGAAGTTCCCTCCTCTTGTTATTTTAAACCTTTTCTTAACTTTGTATTCTGTCTGCCCACCAAGAGCCAACTATCACTTGCTTATACAAAGCCTTCTGACTCCTGCAAAACACAGCTGAGGCTGTGGGGGTGCTACTGTATTAGATGCACAGCGTTTTTAGGTCTCATTAAAATTTAGGGAACTTGGGAGGTGCTAATGCATCTGGCCACAGAGTAAATATGTATGTTTCCATTTGCTTAGATAATGAGCTATATTAAGAGTGCCAGAGCTAAACTATTGATATACTTAATAGTAAACCTGTATTACGTGAATTCCCAAGAGGATCCTGTTATTCAGTAGGGAAACTGAATTGTCTGGCTGAATTGTTTGAATTTGCCTTCTTCCCACACCTTTTAGGACCTTGTTTCCTGAAAGTGGACGTTTGAAAAGAACAGAACAGCTGATGATGACAGCAAATGTTGATCCAACTCTGCGTCCTTTTCAGCTCTCCATGTCACAGTTTAGAAATCTGTGCAATACATACAGGAAAATGTGTGATGAAGACCCAAGCCTTTTTGTGTACAATTACAGAGAAGAACTAAGGCTAAAGAAGAAGATGGGGAACTTACTTAAAAATACCAGTCAGCCTGAACAGTCTGAACAGGAAAATCAGCTGTAATTGCAGCAGACCGATTTTTTTTTATTAGTTTTAACTCCTTGATCTAGAGGTGTTGATTCAGTAAGAGGTTTATATATTCCTCCATCTGTACAGGTATGGAAGAACTACTTTTGAGAAAGTGGTGGAGAGAGAGGGATTTCCCATTTTATTTATTCATACCATTCAGCTGAAGACAAAAGTGAAAAGACAGTCCAGTTACAAGGTCTCTGGAGGTTCTCTTTACTTCACAGGAATGGCTAGAACACATACCAAGAACAAGGTATGGTGTGAGATATGTAATTAAGTTGGGATATTTCTGAAATAATTGTTTTGTATGACTGAAAGTGCATTATTGAAACGTAAGAAAAAATGTTTTTCATACTTCAGCATGTAAGACGGTGTCTGGGTTTTTGTGCTCTTTTTATCCTGGAACATCCTACTGTGCAGAGTAATTTAAAAAACAAAAGCCAGAACTCTAGTATAAATATACTCGGGTGACTGGCTTAAAGGAGGATAAAGTGCACAGATTGCCTCAAGGTCTGCTAATACTCTCATTTATGCAAACGCAAAGAATTTGGGATTTAAAGCTCCAACTAGAGAAAAGCAGCATGATAAAAAGAAAACAGGGCTAATACTTATTTGTCTTTTACTGTACAGGCTGGTAGAGAAAATAAAAAATACAATGACATAAAAGATTACAGGCCAAGCTTTGTTTTTATATTTACACATATGTATAAAGTATAAACAGCATCTTGAAACTTACAAAAATGAAATTTCTGCACTATTGTGCACTAAAACACATTAAAATAACTTAATTCTGCTTTAAATAAAGCAAAAATGAAAACCAAAGAAATAAAATGCCCAAGGTATTGAAAAATTCATTTTGCAATGCTACTCACTAGCACCTGTTCCACATTACTTAAAATACTAACAAGGCCATCATTCCCCTCCCCAATAACACTACATCCTCTTAATAACTGCTTGAAAGGGATGAACTAATTTACAGACCTTGGCCAACTTAATGTATTTTTGTTCCACAATAAATTAAAATAACTTAAGAATCCTTTACAGCTGTTTTTGTGGAAAAAATGTATTAGTGCACAAAATCAGATAGTAGTTTTCCTGCAGCTTCCATGAATTTACTAGTTTTAAAGCAAAATAAGTTTGTTGAATTTTATGTGGACTTCAAATGCATATTTTAAATATAGTGCTTAGAAAGCTAGGATTTTCCATGCCTCTCCACAGCTTCATAAAAACAGTCCTCATTAACTACAGATGTTAAACTCTGTACGCTAAATTCTCTCTCTAAAATAGAGTTCAGATCCAGGTTTGCAGCATCAGAGCGACTGTCAAGGGACTGGTGACATTCTTGCATTGCCATTAGAGTTCCTCTGTTACGCTTTGTGCTGTTTACTTTTCTCTTCACTGGGCAGAAATGGCCACGCACCAGCTTTGGATGGTCTGTCTCGAAGCTATCTCCTTCCTCATTTTCAGGAGCCTGATCCCGTTCAGAGTCAGTACTCGGTTCCTCGGAAATCTTCAGCCGCTGGAACTGTATTTCAATGTCTTTCGTAGGGCTGCCCTTCTTCAGGCTCTGATAGTCATCATCATCATCATCACTGAGAATATCAGATTCTTTGACAAGAACGTTGGAGAAGTCAGAGGCACAGCTCTGTACGTGTTTATCGGGAGATGAATTTTTGGGCTCCTGTATGCTCTCGGTGGTGTGGCAGCTGCTGCTCTGCGTACTGCTGCTCAGGCTGCACTCATCGGAGTCCTGGAAGGTGCCCTTCCCCGAGTCACCGTTCCACTCACTACTGGATGAGCTCTTCAGTAGCTTCAAGGACCTCGTGGAAGCTGTGCAGAGGAAAAAGACGGGTTTATTTTTTCAGCAAAACATCAGCTGGTTATACTGTTTGTCGCAATAGCCCACTTATAATTACAGTGTACGTAGTCTCATTTGACAATCATCCCAGGTCAGATGTGCCAGCATTCTGGTACGGACAGTGCAATCCCATGTCAGAGTTTTCATGCCACCTACCCCAGGGCTATATGCTTGCCTTCATATGTAATATATACAACATCCTCCAAAAATTGTACTAATGATTTACACACATCTGCAGGAAATCCAGACTGATTCAGGCACCTCAAGCACTGGAAGGCCAGCTTGTGGGCAAAAGTTGAACTGTCCCAGGTCCCGTGATGTTAAGGGGATTTTACAGGCAACTGATCAGATGGAGAAATACTACTCATTTAACTAAAATGTCTGAAGCTTGTACTTAATTAGGGTATCTGCTGGGATGCAGATTTAGTGCATTGAAAGAAGCAAGACCCCTGCCTTTTGCCAATTGTTTCCGTGTTAAATGTTATTAGGGCTGAGTTACTGGAGGGAACCCAGAGGAAAAAAACACTAATACTGCATGCCAAAGGGAGCCTGTTTCTTCCCGGCAAAATTAATTTGGGTCTTATTATGTCTTCCCTTGAGAGCTAATGACACATCACTGGGGGGGGGTGGGATGGGAAGCTTGCATATCTCCTCTAGCCCTTGTCATGCACTGAGTTGTGGAGAAACTCTACCACCTCCCCAGAACAAAAACAAAACGGGATTTGTGGGTCTGGCATGTGACACACTACAGTCCTGGTAATAGTTGCAAACCTGCCAGTGCTGGAGTCCAGACTTCATTTTTTGACTTTGACATGTTTCTTACCCAGTTTGGCTGTTGCAGGTACACGGTTCTTGAGTGGGACAAGCCGATCTTTACATGTTTTCTCCAGTGGTAGTTCACATTTTATGTGACGTCTGAAGTTCTCACGCAAAATAGAGCGGATCACCTTGACAATGTTAGTCTTGTTCTCACAGTCACTGTTTAAGAAAGTTTAAGAAAACAGATAACCTAACTTTCCCCTCTAAAGTTAGACATTATCGGGATTAAATCTGCCTGCCTTCTTTCTGCTGATGTGCTTTAATGCAGTGATTTTTCTTCAGTAGCTTGCTTTAGTAGTGGTTTTGCAGCTAACATCTTTATGTGTTATTATTATACTTTATGCAGTTAAACACTGGCATAGTGCCTGGATTCATAGAGTGAGAACTGCACTAGAAGTGCTGATGCAAAGGTCACGCAGGGGAAAGTTTTTATTTTTTTAATTCCATTAATCTGATTTGTCAAATACAACCTCCATGGAAAGCTTACCTGCTGCACAACTGAAAAATTGTTTCTGGCCTGCCTTCTAGTTCTGACTTTGTGTGAATCAGTTCCCAGATAGAGCTGTTCTCTGTTCCTGTGCATAGAAGGAAACGTTATTTTTGTATATACCTCACAAAATCTTCAGCATTAGAAAGACCACTGTAAAGCTCCCTCCACTCCTGAAGGCACTGTTAGCATAGCCATGGGTAGATCCACAGATGTCACCCGAGATGGAACCCAAAGGAAGGTCCCCTGAACTCTCTGGTTGCAGCAGCCTAGTGCTGCCTTTGAAGACTTCTCTCTTGGAGAGTTGCTTTCCCCATTCTTCTTGCTTCTCACTGCCTCCCAGCCTTAAAAGGCCTTCTCCCAGGTGCACAAAGCCTTTATTTGCTCTAAACACCTAGTGACACTTCACAGAATATACAAACCTGAATAGGATCGTAAAGATCAACCCAAAGGGAAAATAAAACCACAGCCCTCTACTACCACAAATTACACAGTCAGCTTTCCCACATTTGGAAAAACACCAGGGTTGGTGCACACACAGCGTAAGGGCATCACCAGGACGCCAACCATGTTGAATCACCTTCCTGTTCATGGTATCTTTTCATTGGGGATTTCTATTCTGTCATTCCTTCACACCATGTTGCAACTACCTGAAGTCACAGAAGAAGCCAACATATCAAATGAAGAAAGTCCGTTAATGTATCAAGCCTGTACCCCCTGAGTGTAGAGGCAACAGTAGGTATTATTTTCTCTACACCTGCCTGTTTCCAGAGGCTCTGGAAAGACATACGGAAGAAACAGTATTACAGAATCCCAGAAGAACGTTCAATCCTAAAGTATTCACTGCGAGGGAATTACCTGCTGTGTTCCCCAGTCGAACCTGAAGAGCAGATAAAGGAATCAGCCAACGAAATTTAAATGGATCCAAGTCACCGTAATTATGTGCAGCACGAACATTAGTGGGCTGCAGAAAGACAAAAAACAAGGATATTTCTAAGAAATAAAAATAAAAAAAGTGGGTTTTTTTGTGTTACTCTGAAAAGACCTGCGTCTGAAGAGAAACTAAATTCATTAGTCTCCCTTCAGTATGCTAATATGTGTCTGTAAATGTAGTTGAAATGGTGATAGACACAACCTTTGGAATTTGTAATTGCTTCAACTTTTAAAAGCACTTGTTCTTAATGGATAAAAATAATACTTTGCATATAAGTACTACTAGGGAACAAGCTTCCCATGAAGAAACCCATAGACTGTTGATTAGCAGAATACATTAATCGTGTATATGCTGCTGCTAATATATAGCTCCTCCATCTGTTGTATTAAGCATGGTGCAGTCCTTCACCACTGGTACTCCAGATGTACAACTTGCTACTTGACATCAGCATTCAGGTTTTGTATAATGGGACCAGAGGAAGTTATGTTTAGAATGCCCCTTCTCCTTTCCTTCCAGGGTGATCAAGGGTCTGTCAACAGGTCTTTAACCTACATGCTGTGTTAAGGTAGGCCATCGTAAACACCATCTGCAAGAATTAATGATTCCTACATGGCAACGTTTCATATTCCACCTGACAGAACTAGCATTGGGGTTCACACAGAGAAGATGCCTCTGCTTACTAAATAACAAAAACCATTAACTGCTACACAGATACTGAGCACTTGTTTGAGCTGTGATAGCTGGAATTCCAGCCCAGCGAGGGAAGCTGGTATTCCACTGCAGTCACTCCCCCTTCACCGGTATGGTCCATCTCATGCTGCAGTAGGATCCTGTGTGTAAACACCCACCACCTCCACTAATACCACACTTACCATTTTCTTTTTCAGTTTGTAGTTCTCCTTATACACCAGTATTACAGCCCTCTTAAAAACTACAAAAGAAGAAGGAAAACTGTTAATTACAGGTGTAATATTCAATGAAAATATTATCTTGGAGAAGCTGATTATTGTTTTCATGGGAATGTGAAAGATGAGATAAGCAAACTGATTTGAAAAGCACCTGCCCTGTATCAAGATGACAACTGGGTTTTTCATTCTACGCTTATTCATGCAATGGCAGTATTTTTTCCCCATATTTTGTTCTGAATGTTTAGGATGAAGCCATTCTGTACGTTTATTCTGAAACTACCAGCAACCTGTCTCATGTAAGTCTTCACATAAATAAATACAGCAGATGTAGGTTACGTGTAAAGGTTCAGATTTGCTTTTTGTAATCGGTGTAGGTGAAGGGCCTATAGCAAGAGTGTGCTGTGAAAAAGGACGCTAAGTCTGTTCTTCCCGCAGTTCAGCACTTGTTTAGCTGGAAACTCAAATATCTTAATTCCTACTGTTCCACCTGCAGGAATTCTCTGGCTTCCACAACATCCGACTGGAGTTACCTAATCTTTCAGCCTCCAGGGAGACAGGGACATGTCCTCTCTCATCTGTAAGAAGGAATAGAAACACGGGGCATTGAAGCTGCAGGTGAACCAGGGGATGGCTCTACAGAGCAGTTCTGAATCCCAGATGGGACTCTAGGGCAGCATAGCTCTGTCCTTGCTCCTGCATCCGTGTTTCCTTCTAGCAGAGTAGGAGAGAGGGGCACTGGTATGCAGTTGAGTCTCATCCTGACGTGAAGCTGGGATGTGGCCATCGCAAGCACTGCATTAACCCCTGAGCTTGGCAGTTGCCTGCAGTTCCACATATTAGGTGCATTTTCTAAGCTGCCCACATAGGGTCTGAAGTGAGAATACAATTCAGTTTCCCAAGTGGCAGATGAGCAGTCTGAGCTAAGCATCAGGCCAGACTCCTTTCATTGATATGTGTCCTGCTGGGAAGTGTCTGGCATGCATGGATCACCGAGAAGCTCATCCAAGGAACCTGGCAGGTTGTTCCTCTTTGTTCTTCTCTTAGAAGCATCCCCCCCCCCTAACCTGTCATGCTTCCCAGGGAAGGAGTGCACGAGAACCCCGAGAAAGAGAAACTTGTCAACCTGGAGTGGTTCTGCACGTACTTATCCAATGACATCTTAAAGAAATATTGTTTTAAAGAAATGGACAATTACCCAAGATGCTTCACTGGAAGATTTAATTACCTAGGTAATCATTAAATGATTAATCATATATATACTAGTAAATAAAACTCTTGTTTGTATGCTAACACTTCCATTTTTCAGGTTAAAATACTCTGGATGGGGATTTTGATGCAGTAGCTGTAAAGCAAAAATTAGCTTGAATTCACAAGAGTAGAATAAATCATGATTTTCCTACCAGCCTCCTTTGAAAGCTTGGTTTAGCGGATTGTTCTAAAGAGAATATTGCCTTTTGAAAATCACTGATTTCCATAGTTTACCTATAGGCAGCTGAGGCTGGCGGACAGAGCAAGCAGCAACAGCAAACAAACAAATGGAAACTTTTCTCATATTAGGAAATACGACTACGTATTTTTTCAGATATAAGTCTACCCTAGATATCACATGGCTCCAGGGAAAGGAGATGGTGGCTTTCATCTTGTGAGGAGTTTTAATGTGGTAATCTTTAGATTGGAAAGAGCAGAGAGTCATTAGGGAAGATACTTACCAAACACTGTAAGTTCAAGGTCTTTTCTTGCTTTGCCCAGCGATGGGAAGGGATTCAGCCAGGAAACTGTAGAATGCATCAGAAGTTCTCCCATTGAAAGCTCTGTCACCTGTATTAAATTATAACAGTGGATAATATAACTAGATAGTATAAATGTACACATCAGGGCTGCGATCCACATATGTAAATCATTAACGAGTACAGATCAATAACTTCTAGGATCTATGTTTTCTGTATTTACCCTATGTACAGATAGAAAGGCAGAGAGATACACACTACAGCAGCAAAAGTGTGAGTAACCCCTTTTAAAATAGGTAACAGCTATAAAAAGCAATAGCCCCTAAGTTATGGAAGCTGGAGAGAAGTTCTTATTATTAATAACTTCGAAGAGTATTAAGTTGGTCTGATCATCTGTCACTTACATATAGCCAGTTGTGAACTGGCTGATTTATTAGCTGTAAGTATCTTTAATTTCTATAAAGTAATTAGTATTAATGACACTGCCAATGGCAGAATTAATGAAGGTCTTGTTCTCTGAGACTTCTTTCTTTTGTGGGACACAACATAACACTGTGAAGAATCTCCCAGGCTGTCAAGTTTTGTTTCCCCATAAAAGATGGGAAAATCAGGTAGCCCACAGTGGTGATCAGGCTTCTACTAGGAGAAAATAAAACAACTAAGCTGGTATCTCACCCATCTGAACTTCACCTTTACGGATTTGATCTGCGTAGTAATCATTTGATGTAAATAGCTAAGTAGAGACCTTGCTACCCCAGTTCTGAGAGATATGCGCACACAGTTTGTTTCACCTAATGGTTTTTGCTCTGACAAATACCAGTGGATGCCTCAGAGCTGGAAGTGTAGAGAATGAGAATAGCAGACCTTAATGTGAAAGCCTTCAAATTGCCATTTTCATTTATACGGGTGAAAAAATATCTTAAGAACTTAAGAACTCTATAGCATAAAATCAAAATGCCTCGGGGCATGGAAAATCTCTGCAACATTTGAGAAGAGGAGGATTTTTCCTACCGAGAATTGTCTACTCCTCTTTACAATACCTGTCAGTCCAGAAGGCAGCTCTGGCAACTGTCTGAAAATTTTACTGTAACCTACTGACAAAAAGAAACTTGACAGGCAGATATGTAACAGAAGTCAAAATATTAAAGGAGAATGGAGGAAGCCCAGCACAAGTAAGTTCCAAAAACTACCTTAGGAAGAGATAAAACACCCAGTGGCAAGCGGGATAATGCTTCAGGAGTGAATAAACATGTTCTTTCTCTTACCTCTTTCTCTGTTCCACTCTGATCTGCAACCAGTTGGTCAAATACAGTGCCGTAGTCTTCATAGATCTTCTGCATCTCATTGATGTGACTTGCTACTTTTTCCATTGCCTTCAGCGCTTCTATAAGGTTTAAAAATTTCATAGACAGCTATGTAATGCTCGTCTGGTGTCTTAAGTGCCTGAAAAGGCTGCAGTAACTATTCCAGTGAAGAGCCCCCAAATATATGAATATTCCTATCAACATGATAGTAAACACGGTTAGATTTTACATCTTGTATATCTAGGACCACTAGGATCTCTAGAGTAATCTACACCCATACTAGGGTAAGTCATCTGATGAGCTTTAATAGAAACAAATTGCATTTGGCTCACCACAGACTAGACAAAGAAATACAGTGCTATGTTGTACAAGTTCGTCATGGATTGTATCCATGAAATTAAGTACTGGTGGCCAGGTTTTGCTTACATTTTGCCTTCTAAGCAAGAATGACACTAGATTTCATTTGACTTTTGTGTTAATTCAGAAAGGAGTTGGAGAAGGGCACTTAGTTTCTCCATTCCTGCCAGCTCTTAATGGTGCAACCTTTTAGAAGTTTGGCATCCATCCTGACCTGCAAGTAAGTCACCCCCAGCTTGGTTGTAAGGGCAAGGGAACCGTGTTAGAAGCTCCCTTTTAAGTCAGTAACAGCCTCATGACTTTTTGCTGACACTGTATTTTGCCTGAATCTGTTTTGTTAAAATGACAATCAATCCATAAAATAGATCTCTAGACTTTCATCTACCAGGTACTGACAGACTTAAACTGAAATTTGCCAGGGTGAAGTCCAAAGCATGTGAGCCTAGAAAAGCAATCAACTCTAATATATATATTAGACAGACAAGGCTTTTTATGTGGGAAGACTGCAAAGCGTTGACACAGAGCTCGTCTACACAAGCAAGAGTCACAGCCAAACCTCAAACAACTAAAATTTCCTTCTGTAGCATTGATAAATTTTGACACATTTCAAGAACTGAATAACCACCACAAGATGGAGCTTTGGTCAGTGTTTCCCAAGTGGGGTGGGGGGGGGGGGTGAAAAAAAATTGAGGAGAAAGACCCCAGTAACTATTTTTCATGGCAAATCCTGGGCATACCTACTTCCCAAAGAGACTTGGACATAGGACTTTTTGCTAAAAGCACAAAAAACCTACTCATTATTTTTAAGGAGAGGAAATTCTAGGTTTTGATGAATTCTGTGACATCTACCAAAATGGCTACCTGTATCTTCAGAAAGGGCTGGAAATAAAGCTTAACTCATATTCATTCCTGTAGAAGAAAGGAAGAAGTTACCTGTCAAATGATAGTGCTCCTCACTCTCATTATCTGTCAGAGACACCAGCTCTTTTAAAAGCAGAGGATATTTCAGCACTCTTTGAACAGGCTTTATGAGATACGACTCCAGCGTAGAAGAGTGTTGCTTTGTGGGATTTCGAGCGTCCAAAAAGGCCTTAAAGGCACTATCCGTTTTGGCTAGATGTAAGTAAAAGCGTTGGTCAATTGAACATGGAAGTCACCGAAGCTACACTATTTTGAAAGCACAGAACTGCAACTTGTAACCAGCACCAAAAGCCTCACTCTTTTCAATAGATGGTTTAGCAAGTAATTTACACATTTTATTTCATAATCATTTCCTGCATTAAATAACATACATAAGGGCTAAGAGAGCAGTTACATCAAGGTAACGTTACTCCTCCATGTAATTTTTCCACTGTACTGCAGGCTTCTTCTGCATCAAATTAATAAAGTGATAGCAGAGGAAGTGATTCCTAACTTATTCAGCCATTTGTTGCTTCTGTTTGGAGTATGAACTGGATCTGCAGACAGCACAAACTTGTGGAAGATGTTTCTGTAGATACTAATGCTACTACCTGGATGTTACAAAAGGAATTCTGCGTCTTCAGTTCTATACCATTCTACATCAGAACCACAAATCTTAGCTATGCCTATTGAAAGATACCCAATTAGCCTTTGCTTTTTACCAGTATTCTCTGCAAGTTGATGAGGTTTGTTACAGCAGTTTAGTGCAGTTTAAATTAATGCAAATTGAATTACAATATGAATTACAATAATGAAGACAATAAATTACCTCTCTCAAGAACTTTCTGAACTTTGATGTGGTTTGCGCAGAAGCCACTGTACAGTTTAAAGTGGTCAGCATAATACAGGAAGGAGCCTCCAAGGGAAAACAGCAATTTCTGAAATCAATACAATCAAAACATTAATTCATTACTAGAATCCTAAATAAATGTTCAGGCACATAACACAGAGGTTCAATGTTGTGATTATTTACAATATGTATACAAAGATAGCAAATTTTATATATATATATATAAAAATGTAGGATATTTTCTATATATAAAATTATAGGCATTTCATATATATATATGTATATAAAAAAATCAAAAATAATGAATATACTATTTGTAGTAGCTCCAGAATGTTTCTGTATTTCTCTGGGCATAGAGTTCAGCCTATTTAAGCAAAGCCTAAATTTTCTCCATTCTCTTTGTGCAGATAACACCACTGCAGATGCTCTGTCTTACTGTATCTTTCAGGCAGCACAGGAACAAAAATCAGACATGTAACAGGGTATCTTGTGCTGGGAAAAAACATGAGGAATAGGAAGCAAGGCACAAAAGTGCCAAAGCCAGAAGAACTGTAAAACAAACAGAGAGGATTGCTTTCCAACTGTTTTCCTTCTTTCAGGCAGGTGGTAATTACAGGGCACCTCTGATGCTCTTGGATGAAGGGGAGGTTGTGAAGATGTGGGAGGGACTGAATCACGGAGGGAGATGTTTTTAGAAAAATGCTTCCCAAAGCAAAGAAAGAGGAGTAATGAGGGAGGAGGAGGGGGAGGAGGAGAAGAAGGAGGTGGAAGAGAGCAGCCCTCTCCCCTCTTTTTAATCAGTATTTGCTCCACAAAAGGCCACAAGCATCTAGGAGACCTGCCAGCAGTTTTGCCTGGTCCTGTGACAGTGACTCCATCTCCAGGGAATCTGCTTCTTACAGGCAGGGCAGGTACTGAGTGGTGCCACCGTGAGAGAGACAGCACAGTGAGGACACATTTACACCTTGTAGGCCCTCGTCTTGGACCTCACAACACAACTAACTCATGTGGCATTTAACAGAAAAAGCTCCCAGTCTGTAGCCCGGTGAACTGGGCACAGCAGGGAGGGCAGGGCAGAATTCAGCCCAGTGACAACCTTTCTGCAAAGGAGTTCTGCATCATAAGCGCTGCCAGTTTATAGTATACTCAGAGTCTACTCTGCATCTTCCATGTTGCATCTTCTGCCGTGGGAAAGAAGGTGGTAAAACCATGAAAAACAGCACTTATCTTTCACTGCTGGATAGATGTCTGTAACCCAAAGAAAAGCTTCAGGCAAAAAAACAGCCCTATGAAACTTAAGAGTTTTTAAAGCTAGATTTTCACAAACATTTTCAGGCACACTACAAAGTATTAAATGATGAAATATTTACCCGGAACTGGGATGGTGTTTCCAGTGTATTAAAATCTGAGGAAGAAGATATTCCATCTTCAAGGGTCTCCAGAAACACCTTCTGGAAATCCAGCATTTCTGGCAGACTGCCAAACAAGGATTCCATCTGTAAAAAACATCAGGCTATTGAAATACAGCACTCCATGCACCTAAGAGTGGTCTTGCGAAAACAGTCCACTAAGGAGAAGTGACACACAAAGAGGTTGCAAAGTACAATAACGTCTTCGTTAATACTTTTCAAATGGGTTTTATAAAAAAACCCTTACAAAAAGCAGAGATGTATTAGGAGTTAAGTCAGAAGAACAATTAGCATTTAAAAAAAGAAGTGACGCACCAGACAGAAAGGCACTGACTGATGTAACTCCTATTGTTATGTTCGAGGTTTGCTTTTTCTGTTGTGCGCTCAGCAATGAAAAACCCAAATGCCAAGGTCTTAACCCATCAAAGAATGAAAAGCACATCTTTCAGTTATTCCCTCACCTCATCCTGGGTAAGGAAAGTTTCATTCTGAAGGGGCTCCAAGTAGAGCTCGAAGAGGCAGCTCAAGTCCTGCAAGAAAGAGAACTCATTCACTCTTTATCTGGCAGTTTGAAATTGTTCTGTGCATGATAACTGCAGAATAGGGGTGATTTTCAGGAATGAGCTAGAGATACGATTTATTTTCTGTAACAAAATCACCTGTGTGTTGTTAGCACTAAAGTGATTGTTAAATGAGACGCAAATTGATTTCAGTGTAATGTTTTTGTTTCATCTTTAAGGATTTACAGCTTGATTATAACAAATTATATTTTAGTATAGCATGAGGAGAAAATGTTACAGATGATGGCTTTCTAAAGAGTCCATGTAAGTGAACAGCATCAAATGCTTCAATCATGCATGTTAGATAAACCATATAAATAGCTACTCATTTAAATGTCAGTAGTAATATTCAGAAGGACACGTAACAATTTAAAATCCTATTAGGTATTAATGTGCTCAGTTATGTTGTTGGAGGGGACATGATTAGGGGCTTTTTCAGTCACTTCTTCAAAGAATTGGAGCCACTTTTGAAGACTTACTATCCCCCACTAAAGCATGATGGCAGGGCTGGGGCCCACTGCAGGGCTCTCCAACCCTGAGAAGAAGAGACACAGCAGAAATTCTTATGCAGAAGGAATAACAAACATCTCCCAGAGAATGCCATAGTGAGTATGTGTAACCTGCCAGGATTTGGCCTAGTGGACAATTTCACATGTCAGTGACCTCCATGGTCATGCCTCTGTTCAAGTGATTCCTCTAGGCCAAACATCAGCTGGACACACATGGGGGTCCATGTTCTGTAAAGCTTTGTCAAGCTTTACAGAATATGGCTGTATTAGTGCACTGGTAGACATACTAACAACAGACTGCAAGCATTTTCTCTTCTTTACCATATACATTATTGCAGCAAGTACCACTATCTCTAATATGTGTTTTGAGATCCAGTAAAGTAGGTGATTCCTTCTTGCTGAAGGTCAATGAAAGCAGTGTTTCCATGTTTCTTTTGGCATCCAATCACATGAATTTGGGATTTATAAAAAGAAGAGACATACATCTAACAAATTGTGAACTTATCAGTCAGAGGAGAAATAACATGTGTGTGATGCTACAACCAACTGGAGCTGTGCCTTTTAGCTTTGCTGATTCATAAATCATTATGCACTATTTTCCACATTTAAACTTTTTTTCTAATTTGTAGGAGACTCTATTCTGTTCCTCTACCGGATTTATCTTCATCTTGGAAACTATGGAAACATCCCCTGGAAAACCCCTGTGTTAACATATTGCAGGTATCTACTCCCCGCAAATTACCACTCTCCAATATAAATACAAATTGACTAGAACTAAAGCTACTAGATCAAATCCTACAGCTTCTATTACAGGAGCAAGCCTCTTGAAAACAACAGGAACAAATTAAACAAACAGACTTTTAGGTTATAGCCCTTGTAGAGGGCTGGTGTTAAGACCATCTACAAATCATGGTCAGCCTCAAAAACAAGGCTGTAGCTAGCCAGATTTTTTTTTTTTTTTTTTTTTCTACCTTGACGTAAGACTTCTCAGTGTCCATAAGTTCTTGGATGACTTTCCTCAATCTGTCTGCATCAGAAAGGTGGCGAGCCAGTGGCCGTGGAGGTGGATCCTGATTGTCCTTCTGTCCTTCCATACTTGCCTGGACTTCTTGGAAGTTTCGGCACAATGCACTGATCTGTTCTGCACTCTTAAGTGAGAAGAAAGAGATAAGCGCTGATGTTTTAGAATACAAGCTGTACTGCAATTATTTTTAAATTCATCAAATTTTACTCTTGTTCCAACTTTGGGAGTGTGCCATTGATTTTTGTCAAATATGTATCCTGAGAGCTTTGAACCACTTCAATTTATACCAGACCCAGATCACAGCAGTAAAATGAAATGAAATTTTCTAGTGATTTTCCAGTGTAAATTATTTTCAGTCTTCAGATACAAGCTCATTGGATGCAAAAGATGAGAGAGCACTCAGATATATCATATACCTTGGTTCTTACAACACTACCATCACACTGTTTTCCATCTCTCATATTTTTCAACAATCACTGCATCAAAATAGAAAGAATTAGTAGATAAAGATCTTTTAAGGATCCAGAATAACTTTTATTTGTTATCTGCTACCTACATTATGTTGTATGTGTTTTTCAAACAATGAGACTTTGAGCTGAGGGTTCAGATTCCAATGCCTTGGGTTGTCAAGATGTTTAGATGCTTTCTCTCCAAGGAGACAACTACATATCAAGATTTTTTGCTTTCAAAAACAGCAAATGGAAACCTAAATCTATAACATTCTTTAGAAGAACAATAAACACAAAAAAGTCCAGAAAATTTTCAAGCAAGATAGGAATTGGAGATGGAACAACAACAGTTAGTCTTATAAGGCAAAGATGGAAGAGAAAGAGATTCTTCTGATACTGTGAAATGGTTGTGTAGTTTGCTCTTGCACGACCATCACTAATATCCAAGAGCAAATTTTGCAGGCAATCATCTTTAATGCTTAATTCGAAAATTATTTCACTGTTCTCTTTCTTCTATGACATTTTCCTGAAAGATAGATTATCACTATCATCACCCAATTCTACCTTAACAGCTAATGGTATCCACCTCTTCACACTACATGAAACAATTCTTCTGCAGTGCTTCTGTTTTTCAGACACTCTCTAACATAACAGACAGCTGCATATGCTGAGCCATATATTATCTTCTACTTAGTGAGTGCATTCAAATGAGGACTACATGAATGCTGCCTTCTTTCAAGTGGAACTCTTGTTTCAGTGAAGAAATCAGGACATGAGTGCATTTCATAACTATCTTAATCTGTACTAATTTATTCCACACACTGTTTCAAGTGGTCCTTTTTGGATGTCCTGATTCACCACTGATTATCTGTGCAGCTTAGTTCAGAAGCATAGTAGGTCATCAAATGAGCAAATGCAAAAGTTATTCTGAAAATGAACTGCGCTGTGCAAAGCCTTCTGTAAGGTGGAGGTTAAATGTACTAGCAATATTAAATCTCAGCCATTAATGTGACAAAACACAGGTACATCCCCTATATGACAGGAATAAATGTTAAAATGTCAAATATTTTCCATGTAGTCTATATTACTCTGTAGCTTCACAGCTCACAGTTTTGAACAATGCCACCAGTCTAAAAAAAATGAAGTTACTTTCCTCACTAATATGTGCAACCATCTTCCACAATCCTGTATAATGACAGCTTGCAGGACTATGAAATTTAGATACACTGTATATTTACAACATCTATTAGGATAGGAAAAAATGCAAAGTAAATTGAATGATGTTTGTGGGAATTATAGATGCACACTGATGGAATACATTTTAAAATCACAGTTACTTTGTGCCACTAAAATTAATCATTGTTTTAGAAATAAATCACAATCTAATTTAGGAAATGGGGGGGGGGGGGGGGTAGGGGGAGGGTGTATTTTAAAGCAACTTCTAAATAGCTGAATGCCAAAGTACTTGAGTTTTGGTTTGTTTCTGATGTCAGAAAGTTTTGTATTTGTATCAGAATGACTCAGATGTTACGCACTTTACAGCTCAAGGTGCGCGTGGGCAGCTTGATTTACATCAACCTGATGCCTGATCAAGGACACTAGATCACAGATATGAGACAGCCTATTGAAAGCAAGTCAAACATCATCATCAGGCAGTTTTACAAGGAAGAGTTAGAAGTCCTCTATTCCTCCTCAACCATCTTCACACATAGGGCCGGCAGACATTGGAGAATGAGCTGTGTTGTCCAATTCAGTTCTGGGGCCAGAGCTGGCTGCATTTGCCACCAAGAACCACTGGGTAAGAAAGCATATAGAAATAGATGACAGTCCTGAACATAAATACTATTTGACCACCTAAACATATAATTTTGGTGTCAGAAATTGTTCTGCATAACTGGCTTAAGCCCAAGGCACAGTATTACCTCTCAGCCATACTGCCAACAAGCAGTGATTTTTATAAACTTTACTATGTCCCTGCACATATAAGCACCTCGTGTTTGCAAGTCTGGCATTAAAAATATTGCCCTTGTCCTGCAGTGACGCTCATAGGCTGTTGTCCTTTCCTGTAGTCTTGCTGCTCTCTGTCCGTCCTTTTATGGGAGGATGCCAGACTGTGCAATATCCAGACCTCAGTCTCTCTCTTTATACCCACTGTGGTATTTACATTTGGGTCAAAGCAAGGATGAAATGGTACTTGATCACAGGACAGAAGTATTTCACATTCACTCTTACACATTGCAAGGATCATAGAAGATGCAGGAAGCTATTTATGCCAGTGAAACCACAAATTGTACCTTAGGTTCTCGAACAAGTTTCATTATAAACTTCATAAGAACAAATAAGTAGAGAGGAATAAAAACTATTCTTGCTTCACTTTTCTTCCCAAAATACTCCCTTACCACCCAAGTTGGGATCTCTACCTTTTTTCCACATTGTTCTGGATGCTACTTTCTGGCTCCCACACTAAACAATGTCCTGCTGATTATTATATTTTCTATTTAGAACAGATTTTTTCTAGAAAGACTTTAGTGACAACCCCCAAGAAGATCTCTTTTATGTGTGGGCAGAAGAGGCCCAGCCTCTGCCCTGTTACTGATTGCAGCTGGGATTTCAAAGCCACATGGGTATTATGGATGTCAAAGCAGAGTTTGGCAGTCCAGTGCCCTTAACTCAAGATGTCTCAATAGGAGCCCCAAGTTGATACTACATACACCCACCATAATCTTGAATTAAGGTGGGAATTAACCCTGAATTTGCTCTGACAATAACACTGCAATGGCAAACACAGGCAGATTTAACTGTCTGATACATCTGATAAACTCTTCAAGCACACAGCTTATTTTATTTGCACAAGGCCAAGACTGTGTACTTAGAAAATGGTAAAAAAATAATTTATGCTAACCTTTATCATGTGCAGCTCATCAGGATAAAAACATTTAAATTCATGACAAGAAATGCCCAGATGACTAACTGTGGACATGGCTGCGAGGTTTAGTGCAGAGAAAAAGCTGAGGAGAACGTACAGGGGAAGCAACAAACTTTCTCTAAAATCTACCACTTGAGCTTATGTACGCCACTGTGAGCAACATGTATAGGAGACTGCAAGCAGCTTTAACTTACTTTTGGCACTAAACAGCAGACAGATAAGGTTAAAACTCCAAAAACTTAGACTAACAGTGCTAGAGTTGGGAGAGACAACTGGAGCTTATGCAGGGTTAATAGAAAAAACAAATACTTGCATTCCAGGGAGAATGAAGTTAAGCAATACCATACTGTTTCATTGGCCATTTTCACAGAGTTTCCAACAAAGCTGTATAAATCCTTCTACAGACCTAGCAATCAGGGGAAGCGGCCTCCTGCCCCATACTCTCTTGGCCTCTAAGAAAACAGAAGGATGTGTAGAAGCAGCCTTGAGAAACTTTTTCATCCCTGCATATTTGCAACCCACACTTAGGTTCCACATCCTTTTGCAGGGTGTATTCCCTGTGAATGTGGATTGCTCACAGTAACCTTACAATGGAAAGTTCCAGTCCACATAATTGTCAGCTTGACCCATAGCAGTCAACCACCGCAGTGGTGTTCAGCTTGATCAGATGGACATGAAGCACATCCCATTTTCAATAGTACTCCTGATATGGAATAGTAGAGATTATTCCTCTAAATAGAACAAAAAGGATGCTTACAAGGAACATCTTACAGATTTTCTTTGCTCCTTGCAGACAAGCGTATCACCATTTGAGGCTGGTGCTATCCCCGCCGGAGTTAAAAATCTCCATAAAATTAATCGGTGAAAGAGCAGAAGACATTAATCAGCAGTTGTTAAGCATTAGCACAACAATTTCATGGCTACCCTGTGACTTTCTACTGAATTATACTGATGGAGTATAAATGCTGCACAAGGTCAACTAGCGTTACAGTGTCTCTGCTCATTGCTGTTTATTTTACCCTCATTTATACACCTCATGTACGCTGTCAGTTGGTCAGGGTTTGTTTGAAAAAGTGATGGAAAGGAATATTTTGAGTAGGCTTAGAAAACTCTACAGCTTAAGAAAGACTTCTGGCAAAGAGGTGGGGGGGCTAACACCATGTATGCCCCTTGGATGAGTTTTCAGATTTCTGTGCCCTTGTGCAGGACACTGACCACATCTACAGGGTGATGACCAAACCTTTGATTTCATTACCTAAAGAGGAAGCATGCTCAGAAAACATCCTGCAGAAATAGATTAGTCTTGTACCCTCTAAAAACAGCTAACAGCTCAGCTCTGCCTGATGTATGTATTTCCAGGAAGACTGAATGCATGAGTCAGCAGAAGAAATAAGATTACATGGGATTTTGAGAAATGAGCAACTGGCCAGAGACCTCTTTACATCCCTCACTCTGCGAAAAAGGAAAGCTTTTGGAGATGTCCATCACTTTTCCTTTGTGTTAGAAGATGCTTCTCTACAGGACAAAGCCCTAACAGCTGTCGTATTTTTGTAGGACTATCACTCTACAGACTTCTCTGTCATACTCAGACTGGGAAGCACTTTGTAACAGCAATACAAAAGTCTAAAAAGTTGTAGGCCTCAGCTTCCTTAAAGACCACTGAAAATAACTGCCTTATGTTACATATCAATACAGTACATGCACTCCTCTAAACTTTATTAAGGCTGAAAAATGTCAGCAAAGTTTTAC